AAGTATGATAAAATTTAGGCCGGATGGAAATCGGCTATAGCACCATTGGCTGTGGTCCCTACAACACAAAGGGCATGATGGTCTCTCTAGACGAGCATAGCAGTAGTAACTATGTTACCGTTAGTTTTGATACATAATGGACGCTTCTCCAGCTTTAACCTTGCGGACGAGTTTGGAGAAGTGAAATGCCGAGATGATCGATCCTGTATTGATCGCCTGCAATCGAAGATCTGATCAATCTGTTTCAGCCTATAAAGAAACAGTTCACGATGGAAATGGTTCCTAAGACTACTTGTTGGTAGGAATTTATGGCCCCCGAGAAGGCCACTTGGGTCACTGGTTAGTCCTAGACTATATGAGGGCTATATGAGTTCGAAGACTAGCCCTGTTGTCCACAGCCGCTCAAGACTCCCAAGAAAGGACGTGTTGAGAGGTTGACATAATTCGGAATGGAGCACGTTTGTTGCAAATGCGCCAGCTGATCTGAGAGCTAACAACCCTTGTTTGCAGTCACTAGAATCTCGTCCAAACACCCCATTCATCGTCAAAAACCCGTCCAACTCCTTATTTCGGGATTCCTTTAAATTTTTCCTCTTCTTTACCCTGAACTACTGGTTTGTAACTCCCTTCTACCCTGTCAACCAAAAAATGTAATGATAATATCGTGAACTGTGCCTCTGAAGGATAATCCAAGACTTACAGTTTGCTTCGTGCAGAAAACCACTGCGGACGTATTTTCATGGCAACTCGTCGGCCAAGAATCGTCAAACAGAACGCTTTTCGATACTTAGCAGAAAACAAATTGTACAAAATAGGATTCATGGCGGAGTTGGAGTAGTAACAGCACCCTTGAAAATGATTTTGAAGTCTAAAAATCGTAATCAGTAGGGTCAACAATGTACCTGATATGTAGTAGACGAGGGAGAAGAGAGTTTCCACTGCCGGTGAGACATTACCCTCATAGTAGCTGATGAAAAGCGATAGTAACCGTTGAATGTGAAATGGTAGCCAGCACAGAAAGAACGATACCACGACCGAGACTGAAAACGGGAAGAATCACTTGTTTATTTACATGCCCATCCCAACCCATTCAAAGATTTAAACAGGGATAAACAAATAAAAATATTACGCAGATATGCTCGAGAAAATCATTGAAGAGCTAAGAAATGAACCATTCAAACGTTCAATTGTCTCAGGAACGGGTAAAGTGAGTGTTTGTGGACAACCAAGGATTAGACTAGGGTATCTGGCTCTCCCAGGAATGACGAGCAGCCCGGAGAAGCGTTGGGAACATGATTTTATACCCAGGAAAACTTTGGAACGAACTCACTCAGCATTCTGATGGCGGTATGTGTCGCTTTCGCTCTCATCTCATTCTTATCGACACTGAGCAACGAATCTTTTGCTGCTATTCGTGCTCCAATTTGACAGTACATCATGGTCATAAGAAAGGCTAGAAATATGGTATCTGAAATTCTGTACAGGACCTGCAACCATGTTGAGGCTTACCCGGTACCATGAAAAAAGCAATGAAGGCAAAATAGATGAGACGTTTCTGTTGTTCAGGCTGGTCGACGTCCATTGCACAAAACTGCGTGTCTTTCACGGTCATATAGTCCTCCGACACCTTAACGATAAATAATGAATAGCTCGCCTAATAGTCCCCTGTAGGCCAGCTGAGTGAGTGGGACGCCTACAGGGGCAGAATTAGCCCTTATGAAGGCCCTGTCTAGCAGATATCCTACAGTTACTCATTCTATCCCTATGGGC